CTAACTTTCCCGTGAGGAAACCAAAGTACATAAGGGGTGAATGACTCACTCAATGTTCTATAGTCAATCAGGGTCAAAACTAGGATTGGGGAGGGGCACCCGGGTGGCTCAGTCAGTTGAGCATCTGACTTCGGTTCAGGTCGTGATCTCACGGTTCGTGGGTTCGAGCCCCACATGGGGCTCACCAAGGAGAGGTCGATGGTGGGAGTGCTCCATCATAGCTAGGAGTGCTTGTTTTATTTTTGTCATTGTTTAGAGTTGGCACTGGATAGTGACAGTAAAACACAAACCAACTCACAGTCAGCTTTATCTGTTTTCAAATGATCTATAGGCAATGCATCCCTTTATTGACTGCACTGGAGGCTGATGCCTCCATCACTGGCCCTGCGCAACTACTGCTCTTTGGTGAAGAACTCTAAATTGGTTTTGTTAAAAAGAAAATAAAAAGAAAAAAGGCTTCATTTGAAGGGGGGGATTTTGATTTCTAAGCCAAGGTGAGTTGACACCAAAGAAAATGGGAGAGATGTACTTGTCGACCCATGTAGTGTGGCTGTAACTTCTCTTGACTCAAGGAATCAACAACTCACTGAACAGAGTTTAATACGTACGGCAATATTAGTTGCCATACTTAAAGCTTACCCAAGTTCACAGTTATTCAGTAGCCAGTGTAAGATGAGTCTGATGCTAGTAGACACACTCCTGCCACTACCGCCGCTATCTATCTGTCCAACAATATCTGAACAGTCACTCAAGTACGAAAAATGCTAATGCTGCAAAGGAGACATCACAGAGGGCTTCCCAGGGCCATTATTTGTGGCGATTGAGTCCCGCATAAGTGAGCCTGGCCAAGGAGGTCAGTGGGGGCTGAAAGAAGCCCAAGCTAAGTATTTTTCTAATTTGCACAGAGGTGCCTTATGGGCTGGCAGTGACGTGGAACCACAGGTGGTTTTAGGTTCACACATGAGAGCAGTCTGTTGCCTTCTGTTTCCTGTTGATACTGTGAGAGCTATTTGTCAGTTTCTCAGAAGTGGCTCTGCCTAGCTTCCTGGCCAGTTCTAGAGTCTACAGTCTCCTCTACAATTTCCACTACAGGCTACTGTAAAATACCCAGTTGTCCACGCCTCTGTCATGGCTGTTATCAGGGATATGACTGGCATCCCCTCAGAAGCTCTTCCTGGTGAAAATTAGACACTCATTAATCTGTGTGGCAAATCCTGGGTCCTGCGCATTAGGGAGAGCTACAATCAAAAGGTTGCCATGGACCTGGTTTGAGAGCCAATCTGTACCTCCATGTTACTCTTTGGAAACTAGGACAAGGAAATTTTGCAAGGCCTCTTGGGGACATGCCTCAGAGTGGGGATTTCTTTTCAGTTTGTTACCATCATAGTCACAATATCTTTTTGTTGTTGTTGTTGGATGCCATTTAATTTTTTTTTTTTTACAGATAGTTTAATGTCAAGTTGGTTTCCATATAACACCCAGTGCTCATCCCCACAAGTGACCCTCCCCCATGCCCATCTCTCCCCTCCCCCCCCCACATCCATCAGTCCTCAGTTTGTTCTCAGCATTCAAGAGTCTCTCATGGTTTACCTCCCTCCCTTTCCCCCACCATTTCCCCCCTTCTTCTCCCCCATGGTCCTCCGTTAAGTTCCTCCTAATCCTCCTATATGCGCAAACGTATGTTATTTGTCCTTCTCTGCCTGACTTATTTCGCTCAGCATAACACCCTTAAGGTCCATCCAGGTTGCTACACAAGGCCAGATTTCACTCTTTCTCATTGCCATGTAGTAAGTATTCCATTGTATAGATAAACCACATCTTCTTGATCCATTCGTCCGTTGATGGATACATAGTCACAATATCTTATCAGTGTTTGCTCAGTGAATGACCTTTAAATGCATATTAAGATATTTATCCCATTAACTCAGTAATGTGGGAACTATATAGTCTGACTGATAAGAAAGCTTACGTATTGCTTCATCTGTATTAGTTTCTAGGAGGAAAATGGCAGATCTGGGAATTAGACAACTTTGCTTTCTATTCCCATTTCTGCCACAGCCTTTTAACATGACATTAAAGAAGTCATTGTCATCTCTAGAATGCAGATAAAAGGATGGACTCGATAGTCTCTAAGTCCTTTCACACTGGTACAGTGGGTGCTTTTAATCAAGTTCACACACACAGTAACACGTTTCATTGCATTTTAGAGCTGGAAGGGAGTTTAATGATCCTTGTTCCAAACACCTTATTTTACAGATGCTCTTCATAAAAAAGACAGGACAGATATTATTATCCTCTTTTTACAAAGTAAAATGCTGGAGCCCTGAAAAGATGAACCATGTGCTTGAAAGGAGATGAACTCTGGCTCATCTTTCTACTACACCACACTCTCAACTAGGTTTTACTGGGTCCAGCCTAGTACTGTCCAGTTTTCTGCCTTATTTTCAGGGGACACAGAAAAACACCTAACTAGTGCGTGCCCAGCCATAGCCCTCAAGTGCTAATGGCGGTTGACCCTCCTGCACCACCATTTCCCACAGATGGGAGATGTGATACTTCAGGGAATCCAGCAGGGGAAGTGCCAGTGTACTTCTGGCTGATTTCTTACCAGAGTGTATATTGACAAACATGGAAACTAGGCCGTTTTCCTTGCTCTTAGAGCAGTTTCTAGGGGAGCAGCACCGCTGGGGGGCTGGGGTCAGGAGTGAAGGAGCCAGAGCAGAATAAGTCATTCTGATACTGGTGAGTCTGGCCATGAATGATGGTCACAACAGGAATAAAGCCCACACTTACAAAGTGTCTACAATGCACCAAGCATTTAACAGATCCTGTTTCATTTAGGAAATGAAATTTCTGAAAATAGAAGTTTAAGAAATAAGTCATTTTAGAAAAAAGCTATAGAAGGAAAAAAGCAACAACTCCGGAGCCTGGGATCAGAATTAGTATTACAAGGAAATACTTACTTAGTATTACAAGTGAAAGCTTACTATGGCAGTGGCCATCATAGCCATCTAGGGTCTACTGAGAGTCTCCTTCTCTTTGAATCACATTCAAGTCACCTGCCTCTATTACAAACAACTAAAATAGAGAAAACAGATTTTTATTTTTAAGAAGTGGGCTTTGGGGTCTTACTCCGAGTCTTGGCTCCACCCCTTCCTACCAAGGATATCTTAAATGAGTTTCTTTCTTTTTTTAAAAATTTTGTTAATGTTTTATTATTATTTATTTTTGAGAGAGAGAGACAGAGAGACAGAGTGTGAGCAGGAGAGGGACAGAAAGAGAGGGAGACCCTGAATCTGAAGCAGGCTCCAGGCTCTGAGCTGTCAAAATAGAGCCCAACACGGGGCTCGAACTCATGGACTGAGAGATCATGACCGGAGCCAAGCTGGATGTTCTACCTAACTGAGTCACCCAGGTGCCTCTTAACTGAGTGTCTTAACCTCTTAGAGCCTCAGTATTTTCATGTGTAAAATGAGATTTTAAAAAATATATAGGTTAGTTATATATAAAGTTTGTTGAATAATATTAGCAGATTCTAGGCTTTGCAGTAAGAACTGAAGGAAGAGAAAGAGCAGAGGGGGGCAGAGAGAGGAGGTTATTTATTACACTTAATAGGTTTCATTAATGTTTATTCTTCAGGATAGGGCTTAGGGTCCTTTGGTAAGTGGTGAATTTAAGAGCATTCTTTTACAGATTAGCTGCTTTCCCTGAGCCTAGTTAATTAAAAAATACCGTAAGTGTTCTAATTAAGACCATTGACATCTTTTCCATAATTGTAAAGGGACTTAACCATGTTAAAGGACACGTTAAATATTACTCTGCTATGTAACTCACTTTGATCTGATGTTAATACTAATTCGTAGAGTTATTTACATGGAGAATACGTTAAATTCGTGGGACAAATGGGGGAATCTGAGACCCCTTCCCAACACACAGCGTCTATCTCTCAGAGCATGTAGGAAGTGAAGCAAACTAGCAGGACCATCCAACTTAACACATTCGGTGGCATTTGGAGCGATGGTGGGGAAAGCGGGCTCCCTAGTTAATTTCACACTTCCGCTATACATTTCAAAAACCAAGGTGTGACTCTGCGCTGGATTTTTAAAAGACCTTCAGGAGGCAAAGTGCCAGGTATTCTGCAAACCCCCTGCCTTAAAAGAGTTTTCTGTTTCGTGGTGTCTGTTTGCTGTGGAAAATCCCAATCTGCTCAGTTAAAGCAAGGGCTTTAAGCTTCTCAAAGGATATTTCCTGCTCATTAAGGCTCTGGCTTTCCTGGAGAGGCTGGCCTTTGTCTTTCTGAGTGTGAGCATGTTGGAGGCACGTCTGCAGTCTACAGAACTCAGGAAAATTTGGTGAAGAGGAAGGCAAGAGGGAAGGCGGCATTCGCTGTGTGTCTGCTGTGTGCTGACTTCCGGAAAGCCCTATGAAGTAAGAGCCATACTTGTCTGCATTTGACGTGCTGTGGAATCCAGGCCGAGAGAGGTTCCCTGCCCCTAGACCACACTGCTTCTCCAACAGGACACCCCATTTGCTCTGAAATATCTACGAGGTCTTGCTGGATGGGGATGGCGGCCCTCTGGGGCACCCTGGGACTCTCCGCCAGGGCCCTGGGCCACCACCTCCTTGCTGCAAATTGCCCCAGGTTTGTTTTCTTTGGCTCCCTCATTAATGAGTTCCACAGGACAATGCTAAGTCTAGTTATGCAGCCTTAATTGGTTTAGTTACAACAAGATAATTCCTTTTTTCTTCTCTCGGAGGCCTTTTTGTTTAAAGACATTTTAGCTGGAAGATGCTAATTATCAATGAGGAGAAAGTGACACTTGAAGAGTTCATTTTCCATCCTGGTCCTTGGTGTCTCCTTTGAACTCCCCCCACCCGTCCCTCTTTCCCACTTTATCACTTCTCCCCCACCATCATAAAAGAGAGCTTGCCCTGGCTGGCGGCACGGCTCTCTTTCTCACTTGCCAGGGAGCCGTTCTCTCTGCAGCTGTCTCCCAGGCATGGACAACCTGCGTGAGACCTTCCTTGGCCTCGAAGAGGGCCTGGGCCCCTCCGACAGCCCCGGCCTGCTGGCATCCTGGGACTGGAACGACAGTGCAGGGCCCTTTGAGTTGAACGAGTCCTCCCCCACGCAGAGCCTGTCTCCGGCTCCGTCGCTGGAGTCCTACGCTTCTTCCCCCCGTCCAGCCGCGCCTGGGCTGCCCTGCGGGCACGGAGGAGCCGACGATGGGGGCAGCGGTGGCCGAGGAACCGGTGGCCTGGTGGAGGTGGACTACAACATGTTAGCCTTCCAGCCTGCCTATCTACAGGGCGCTGGCGGCCCCAAGCCCCAGAAGGGCGCCAAGGTCAGGATGTCGGTGCAGCGGAGACGCAAGGCCAGCGAGAGGGAGAAGCTCCGCATGAGGACCTTGGCCGATGCGCTGCACACCCTCCGGAATTACTTGCCGCCTGTGTACAGCCAGCGGGGCCAGCCGCTCACCAAGATCCAGACGCTGAAGTACACCATCAAGTACATCGGAGAGCTCACGGACCTCCTCAACAGCGGGAGAGAGCCTCGGCCCCAGAGCACTTGAGCTCCGCCCCAGGGACCGCGACCCATCCGGGCCCCTGGGAGGGGACAGGAGAGCCTTCGGGACCTGGACTAGCTCACGGAACCACGGCACAGAGTTGGTTTGTTGTTGTTGTTGTTTTTTTTTTTTTTTTTTTTTAAATACAGTAAGCGTGGTGACTTTGTTGTCTGGAAAGTTCTAAGGGAATTCCCACTGGACTTGTTGGAACCACCAGAACACTTAACAGCCAGACAAGCAGGTATTTTCCGCCACGGTGTCTCAGGCACCCAGCCCCTTGCGAAGAGACAGATTGCTTTGCCCTTCTCTGCCCGTCCAAGGTATTTTAGAGGACCGATGACTTTAAATGCATTTTGTCAATAACGTAAAATTGTCACCATTAATCTTCTCTCATTATTTTGGTGGTGGGAGCTTGCTTTCTGTTGCAGACTAAACCCAGATTTTGTATAGCATCCAGCGTGACACCTGGATTCTTATTTAGAATGATGTGTATCAAGTAAAGGGCTGTAGCATTCCTGTTTTTATTTTGTCTGTGTGCTTGCGTGGGTACTTGTGTCTGTTTGACTAAAATCATGCCTTTTCTTTTGCAGGAACCAAAATCACGTAAATGCAGAAGGAGTTAGCATCATGGTAAATAGCACAGGCAGACAGACCTCATTAAGAGACAGTGAAGTACAGACCAGCACTTCCTCTGTTAATGCAGGGGACAGGGGGCTGCATGCGCTGGATGCCAGGGAGTGAGTGGGTAGGAAGGAAGAGGAAGGTGGGGGGTACTCAGCCCATGGGGGTGGGCCTGAAGCAGGGCCTGGGGGGTTAGGTACTGCCTGGGCCAGGCCTGCTATGAAACTAAGGTCATTGAATCCCTTCACTGAGTCCTTTCTCAAATGGAGAGATTGGTTCAAAAAGAATAAGACACTATTTTAATTCTATAGATGAGTCAGAGTTGGGATTAGAATTCAAGTCTGTCTCGGGCCCCTCCAGAGGTATTTGTTCTTCCTCCACACATCCCTCTTCTCCAAATCAGCCCTCAGCCCTTGTGCACCTAAACAAAACACCCCCCACGCATACACACACGCTTCACGGGGCCTTGTCTGGGGGCGGTGAAAGGCACCCTTGGCTTGGCTAATAGGAGTGGCCCAAGCAGCCAAAAGGGGGCTTTGAGTTAAGGATGTTCTCAAAACCTTTAAACTAAGAAGGCTTTTTTTTTTTAAGACTAAATTTTTCTCCAAATGGTTATTAACCATTTATACGTTTTTTCCCCCCAATGAATAGTCTGTTAATGTCTCCTGTCATTTCTTTTCCTATTGTTGACTTTTCCTTTTCTTTTTTTTTTTGATTTTTCTTTCTTTTAAATGACGTATTAACAAAAGCAGTATGTGTGTTCACAGTTTAATGTATAACTTTTCCACATTTTCCTTTTGTCGGTACAAACATTTACAAATAAATAGAGGCATGCATACACTTAAAAATACCTTGAGTTCTGCAAACTGCTTTTTTTTTTTTTACTTAGCAATACATAATGAAAGTCCTTCTCATTTAACACAGATAAATCTGTGATGTAAGTCTCATTATTACCTTGATTGTATAGATGAGGAGATGGAAACACAGACTTGCTCTGAGTTACACATGTGAAGAGTATAGTGGAGATCAGAGGGCCAATGTGCCAGAGCACAGGTGTTGCATAATTTGTTTAAAGAGTCGCCTTTTGAGTAATATTTGGGCTGGCTCACTTTTTTATTCCCCCGAAATGCTATAACAATCATCACAGACAATTATATTTATACATGGTAATTTTTAGTAGCCTGGAAATTTCCCAGCAGTGGGATTCCTGGATCAGAATATGTGCACATTTTAAATTTAAACAAATGCTATCAGATGACTTCTGTAAAAGTTTGTAGGAATTTATGGTCCCCCAAACCTTCTGCAACTGAATGAGCTGTCCCATATTGTCACTGGATATTGCCACTCTTCTGAATACTTAATGGATTAAAAAAATGACTAGGTCACTGTTGTGTTAATTTGTATTTCTCTATCTACTGTTTGAGATGGTGCATCATTTTTTTACTTTATGTGACTTTTGTTCACTTTGCTTCCTCTAATGTATTCTTTGCTATTTTTCTATTGGGTTACTTGTCTTCTCATTAATTTGGGAGAGTTATTTGTACATTATACATATTGAGAATATTTCCTCTCGATCTACCATTTTGTCATAGTCCTTGTTTATGGTATCCTATATTTAAGCTTTTGAATATGGTGTCTCTTTGCTCTACAAAGTTTTTCACTTTTATATGGTCAAATCTCTCCCTTTCTTATGGCTTTTTTTGCTTAATTTTTCTCAGCTCCAAGGCTATCCAAATGTTGTTTTTTTCCAATATTTTCAGTTATTTACACATGTGTCTTTAACATACCTGCATTTATTTTTGTCTATAGTGCAAAGAAGGGATATAACTGTATTTCTGGTTAGTGATTTTATAACCAAAGAATAAGTATATCTTGTCATCAGGGATGACGGGTTGTGGGACAGTTGCTAAAATATCATTCTATATCTACACACCTTCGTTGGCTTCTCATATATTTGTTGCTGGTACTTTATAAAATGAAAGTGTTGGACAGTATCAAGATTTTCTTCAAGGGACTCTGCCCTGTACATTTGTAGTTAGTCATGTGACAGTATATGTTTGTGCACGTGTGTGTGTGTGTGTGTGTGTGGTTTAATGTGTTGGGGAAGGAGGATTAGGGCAGAGAGCAATATGGGGAAGGGGCTGTCTAGCCTTTGATCGGGTTTTAGATCAATTGTTATTTTCCTCGCTGTTTTTAAAAGAGTGGGACCCAAATGTTCTTGGCTTTTGAGTTTTTCAAGATCGAGCATTAAGAGTGGTTTATAAATCGCTTGGGTAATTTTGGTTGCCCTGGGGACCAGATACTGTGGATGAGTTAAGAATTGCTTGTCTTCACTGTCCAAAACCTTGGAAAGCCACAGACTCACCTACTAGCTGGGTCTGCCCTCAGGACTCGCAAGGTGCCCATGGGAGGCAAGGCTTGTGGAAGAAGAGGAGGTGACAGCTCTGTGGGAGGGGGCTTCTGGCTCAGGGCCTTGTGTTGCAGACGCGTTTGAGCTCAGCATAGCTGCAATGGTCCCCCGACAGGCTCCACAGCCCAGGCCCCGTCCAGGAGAGACAGCTGTACACCCGCATTTGACTCCTGCAGCAACTCCCCACGAAGATGCCTCCCGTGTGGGGAAGACAGCTGGATCGGGTCCCTGATCCCTCTAGGGAGCATTTACGAGCAGTTGGCCGGGCAAAGCACATAAATAGGAGTAGGTTATTTCTGGTGCTTGCATAGGGAACCACAATTGTGTGTGTCTATTATGTTGTCGTCAGATTTTCATATTTATTACTTCACGTGATCCTCCTGACAACCCCAGGAGGGGGCATTACTGGTCCCATGTTGAGGAAGAGGAAACTAAGATTTGGGCCAGCTCAACGGTGCAAAGCCCCCTGATTAGCTGGTGGCACATGGTGGACTGCTTTGCCGGAGGGGTCAGCCCTAACTCCAAAGCTTGGGTCCTCCCTTCCAGCTCACTCTGGGATGCCGTGGGCTGGGCAGTGGAGAGCTTTCTCGGTTAATACTCGCTCCCAGGCTTCTCCACCACTTTTCTCTGCTTCCCCATCTCTGGTACCCTCATTTTTTTCACCATCTGAAGCGTTTCTGACGAGGCTGTCATTTGTCTTGTCCTTTAAGTTATTTCCCTTTGAACTTCTGACTCTGCCCCAAACGTTTCCTCAAAACTTCTTTCCACTTCCTTGCTGGCACCTAGGATTAACCACAGAGGAAACCTGACTTCTGCTCATTTGTGTTCAATAAAGTGTTCCACAATTCACACCGGGCTGAGGATTCTTTGTTCTTTTTGTTGTTTCTGCCACGAGCTAATCAGCAGAGAGTCCCGAGCAGGGGTAAGGGAGACCCTTTGCAAATTGACAAGTAGATGGAATTACCTTAACTTTAGAATATTAAAAAACAAACAAACAAACAAAAAACAACAGCAAGTGAGTTTTGGTGTCGCTGCCTTTGAGGGCCTGTGGGAGTAGCTTCTTATGTTACTACTCTGAGGTCACATCTGATTCCTACACACGATCCAGGCTGCAGGACGGGCTGGGCCTTGACCTCAGACTGGCTTGAGGGCATTTAGAGTCTGGTGGTCTCCTCCTGTCCATGTCTGAGAAGCTGAGGGGCCGCTACCTCAACAAGGAGGTATTGAAGTCAAAGCAGGTCCTCTTAGAGAAACTGGAAGGAGTTGATATTTTCGTTCCAGAAAGGCCCTTAAACTGTGAGCAGGAAGAAAGCAAAAACCTTTCTGAGGAAGTGGGGGGAAAAGGCAATTCTTTGCTTGTCTCTTGGGTTTGGAAACTATTGACCCTCCTGCCTGTAGCAGAGTCTCCCACCAAGTTCATCTGCACATGAACTCTGTTGACTTCCGTTTTTCTTCATTAAGTGAAGAGGGCAGAGGGGCAGGTCTGGGGTCACAGGACGGAAAGCACCACCACGGGCTAGTCCCAGCAGAGCCAGCCACACTTGTGGGTTCAGCCTGAGGTGTCAGGCTCAGGGCCAAGGTCTCTACATACTGTTTTCCTTTAACTTTGACAGCTAACAATAGCAGATGGCTAATATTAGCCCAGGTTGCAAATAAAGAAACAGGATCAGAGTGGTCAAGTCACCTTGCCCAGGGTCACAGAACTGGTGCAGAGCCCAGAGGCCCACCAGATCTGCTTGACTCATTCCTCTGGCAATTCGAGGCTCCATGTGGCGGCAATATGCACATGCATGCTAAGATGGTGTTTCCCACTAGCCGAGGCTCTTGTTCGAAGAAGTTTGCCTTTGCAGGGTCCACACAACGAATCAGGACTTAAATAGATCAGGGCACATTCTAAGTTGTGACACCCTTTCTCTTCTCCTACACGATGTGGAGCATGATCATTCTCTCTCTCTTATAAGATAGAATTGCTTAA